TACAGTAATATGAGTCATAACTTTGCATTTCAATATCACTAAAAATATGGATTTCAAATATTTGTACCACATAGAAATGGTAGTTATGTAAAGAGATGTATAAGTTCATTAGCCTGATTTTATTGGTATTTTCTCTGTAAAAGCATTATTTTTACATATTGTGCTCTAAACAGTATCAAGTGATGTTTATGCTTTGTATTCTATAGAATTTACCCCTTCTTTATCTTTACACACTAACATTTTGGTTTGAGATAAAGTTTTAAATATCAAGGCCAAAAATGTACAGAACTTTACACTAATTTTAGCATCATTGAATAAAAAGAAATAACCCCCTTTTTATTTATTGAAAGCCTTCAATTAAATCTTATAATAAATCAAGTGTCATTGTTAATTTTGTTCATTAAATCCCCAGAACAATTATCTAATGAAAGTTCTATTTTTATAACCAATAAGATTTTAAGTGATTTGTCAGCAGCCAAATAATAAAGATGTGGTAGAGAAAGGATTTAAGCCTAGATAGTTTGATTTCTAAACCTACATGCATAATCTTTCTACCTTTTTACAGGAGACATATACCTGCAAGGCACAATGAAAAGGACTGGGAGTATATCACCTGTAATATAAAACAGATGATGCTATTAGGAAACCTATTGCAATGGGATTTCAAGGAAGATTCCCTAATTTGTAAGAAATAACTATAATGATGTATTAGATATTAGTATTCTGAAGATAAAAATAGTATTTCAGTTTTACTTGGCTCTGAACATAATGCAATTCATGCTAACATGCAAGTTTTCCAAGTCACAATGCTTTGGTTTGTTTTTCAAAAAAATACTGGCAGTTGCTAAAATCCCAAATGTTATATTTAATATACCTGCTCAGACATAAAGAAAACTGGAGAAACACAGAGAAAATGTGTTAAATATTTTGTATTAATATTGGAAATAATATTTATATACTTGATTTTAGAATTAAAGTGGCACTGATATTTCTTCCCAAAAGATTTCAGTACATATACAGAATTAATTATTTACTTTGAATCTCATTTTATTTTGCTGAACCTAAAGTAAAGCTTCATATTCTTACTCCTAATACTGAAAGATTAGGCAAATTTCAATAAGCTTTTCACAGTATGCCTAAAAACCATAAGTTATAATAATTGTATTCTATGTTTTAATCCAGTGCAAGCAGAAACAAGTTTTTTTCTGAATAAAACCAGGTGGCCTCTAGCAATTACTATAGCTTAGTAGATGTTACATGGAACAAGTATGTCACTGCAATCTATGAACATCAAAAATAGCACTCATATATAAAAATATTAATGAAAAAGCTTCCAGAAAGATCTGTCTTCTAAAGAAAGTATAATTACATTGAAGAGAAATGAATCATGATCAGTTATAGTATTAAATTAGTATTGGAAAGATTCCTCAAAAATCTTGTCAGTGAACCAGCAAAGTTAGATGAAATGGAAAATTCCCAGAGTATATATAAATAACTGAAACTGACTCAAGAAGAAATAAAAATTTGAAGATTCAACTACCACAGATATCAAACCAGTCATGTGAGAACTTTTGGCAAGTTAAACATTTGCCCTACAGTGTTTTAAAAGCAATACAGAGCAGATATTTCTAATATGTGCAACTCTTCCAAGGAGAGAGAAAGAGAAAATACAGAACTTAGTGAGGTTGGTATAAGCATGGCAAAACCAAACAAATATTAAAAAAGAAAAATCAGTGATTTTACTTTGACTACAGATTCCACGGTCACAGACAAAAAGCTAACAAAATCCTACAATTTACTAAAATGTATGACCAAACTAGATTTGTATCTCAGGAATTGAGAATGGTTTGTATTAGAAAATATGAACATTTAATTTTTTCCTTTAAAAGATACAAAGAATGAATCACTTCAATGTAGGTAAAGCATTTGATAGAAATATATATTCATTCATAATCAAAAACTAAGAGAAGAAAGTATGTTGTCATAAATTTATAATCCTAATGCTAGAGATGCTGAGACACAATAATTCAAAACTTCTGCTCTTTGAAAGCTAATGAGAAGTTAAAATACACAATAGGAAAACAAATTTAAAGAACCTACATCTAACATATGATTGGTATACAGCACATATGAAGAAAATAATTAGGTTATGTACAAAATGGATAAAAGTTTTAAAAGTATTTCACTAAAAGAGATTGTAAAATATTTAATATTTCTATGAATAAAATGTTCAACATCATTAGTCATTACATTCAAAAAGCAAATCAAAACTTGAATGCACTAGTAGTATGAACTTAGTGAAACAAAATTTGGAAATATATCTGGACACGATGACTGAAGCCTAAAGTCTTAGCATGTTGGGAGGCGAAGATGAGAGATCATGGTTTAAGAACATTCCCAGCTAAAGTTATGAGCTCTCATCTTAGTAAGTGGCTGGGCAAGGTGGTACACAGCTGTTATCCCAGCTACAGAAACCTATCATCCCCAGTGATAAAAGGAAGAAAAAGTTTAAGAATTGTAGCTCAGACTGGATCAAAAATATAAGTGAGATTCTACCTAAAAATGCAAAAATGGATTGGAGGCCTGGTTTGAGTGACAGAATAACTTCCTTGCAAGCCACACCTGAGTTCAAACTACAGTGCCAACAAAAATATTAGCAATACATACCAGGTGCTAGTGAGACTGTGGAAAAACTGATAGTACTAAAACAAGTATAAACTGATGAAAATACACTTTACTAAGTACTGATAGAATGGAAAAAATCTGGCTTCCACCGCAATTTGTACAGAAGTAACTGAATGTTTTAAAGGGAGAGAGGCAATAGGGTAGGGAAAAGGAAGGGTTCTGTTAACTATGTTAGTTAACTGGCAATGGTCAAGCTAGTTGTTGCCAGAGAAATTGTGTGGTGGTATCCTACAGAGACAAATGTTGTGTTGATGTTGTTGTTGTTGTTGTTTTTAGCTTAAAGCCATGCCAGAGAATTATTATTTAGTGGAGAGTTATTTAATGGAATCCTGAGCCCAGATTTCTGTAGTCCTCAAAGATCATACACAACTGATAAAAATTCATTACCATACATTGTCTGCAAAAGTTTTAAAGCTTCTTTTTTTGAACAAGATACTTAATTTTTAATTTTTTATTTTATTTTATTTTTGTTGGTCGTGGGGCTTGAACTCTGGGCCTGGGCGCTGTCCCTCAGCTCTTCAGCTCAAAGCGAGTGCTCTACCACTTGAGCTACAGCGCCACTTCCGGTTTTCTGGTGGTTTATTGGAGATAGGAGTCTCACGGTCTCTCTGGCCCGGGCTGGCTTTGAACCGTGATCCTCAGATCTCAGCCTCCTGAGTAGCTAGGATTACAGGCGTGAGCCACCAGCGCCCGGCTATATACTTAATTTTTAAGAGTATGCAAATGTGAACAAAGGCACAAACATTCCCAAGAAGCTATATTTTATTTTATTGTAAAGAAGCTGTAGAGAGGGTTACAGTTAAATGGGTAAGGCAATGAGTACATTTCTTGTTCAGCTTTGTCATACCCCTTCCCTTGTTGTTCTCCCACTATCCCTTCCCTCCTCCACCTCCAACACCCCCCCCATTGTAAAGTTAATTTCCAGTATACTGTCTTGTGATTATCATTGTTGCAATGGTTCATCCTGTGTCCTTAGTTCAGTGTTTTGTTATTCCCTATCCCCTTCCCAAATTTGACAAATATATATACAAGATGCAGGGGACCAAAATCAAGTTCAGTGACAACAGGGGATATACCATAGGGTGAAGAACATACAAAAGAAACAAAAAAAAATCACATAGTACATTTTAAAACAACAACAACAAAGAAAAATCCCTGTGTCCATACTTGGGGGTTCATTTCACTTAGCATCCTCTTATATGGTCATATGTACATAGCTTTTGAGCTTTTCTGCTCATCTGATAAAATTTCCCTAGACACATATTAATTATTGAAAATGAGGGAAACCATGAGACCTGTATTTCTTTTGGTCTGGTTTACTTCAATTAATATGATTTTTTCCCAAGTCTTTCCATTTCCTAACAAATGGGGAACCTGAGTCTTCATCAGAAAGTTAGCAATACATCATAGATGTACATTCTCTTCCACTACCACAGGAATTCTTGCAAGTCAAGTCCTAGGAAAATATAATCCTCAATCTTTGGGCACAAATTTTACAAGGGTCAACAAGATACTGGCTTATGGGAAAAGAATATTAAGGACCAATAAAAATGCAGTTGTAGAACTGATGAAAATATTTTAAATAGTCTTTCTAATTTTGTATTGTAAAGTTTATGTACATGGGGGTTAGAGGCCCATAAGCCAGGTATTGAATACATTTTAACAGTGCCACCCCTTCTCTCATTTTTTTCCAGTCTTTCCCCTCATGATCTCCTTTTGCCCCAAGTTGTATAATTCATCTTCAACGTAGGGTCTAGTGCGTATCACTAGTGAATTAGTTCACCATTTGTTCCACCATTTCTGTGCTTCTCTTTCCCCTCCCCAATCAGATAAACTTACATACAAAACCCAGCCTGGGTCTTGCGAAGAATAAAAGGTACAAAAATAAAAGCAAGACAACAGGACTGAAACCCACATGAATCACTTGTGGTATCTCGTTTCTCATCACACACAAAAAAAGCACCAGCACCTCTTTTAATATTAAAAAAAAAATCCTGGCATTACAGAACTGATATTCCATTATTACTTAATATTCTACTCTTACAGTTTTCATGGCAAATTCATGAGCCAAAAACAAACCCACGAAAATGGGGGGGCTTATAAAGCTAAATATGATCTTAGCATTAACAGCTAAACAGGGAAAGGAATTCAAATGCCTTAATTAAAAAACCACAAGTGGACTATAAAGTGTGTAGCTACTGAAGTTTACAAACTATTTAAAACCTGAGATCGTTGACTATTCAGAAACTACACAGATGGATTAGGGGTAGTAGAGGCTTACAGCTGACAGGAATTAGGGATGAGTCTGCATTGCTTTAGCTGCTCCCCATGCGGTTGGTCTCCGAGGAAAGCCTGACATTGATCAGATATTGAGCCAGGCTAATGCTGGCAGCAGATCCAGTGATGGTAACCCGTCTGTCAGGAGATCCTACCACTGGATTTGCAATTTTGATCTGCGCCCCAGACATGCGACGGATCTCATTGATTTTGGCTCCTTGACGCCCAATGATGCAGCCAATCAAATCATTTGGGATGTTGAGTTCTTGATAAGTAGTGTGAGCAGACGCATTCAAACCTGCTCGGAATCCGGTGTTGCCATTTGTCATGGGAAAATGAGACTGTTGTATTGCCAACGGGTGCATTTTGGTCAGGGCTATGGACGATCCCTCCTGGTCAGGATTGAAGGACACAGATGGGCTGGTGTGGGGGAAACTCTCACTGTTGCTGCCAGTGCTGTACCTGTCCTGACCGCCTACAAAGCTGGCTAGAGAACTTGACGGCTTGGGCCGGTAAGGAATGGTTATGCCCTTTGGAGGAGACTCCAACATGACCATGCAGATCTGTTTGACACACTCAATGATGGATTGTGGTATGCCAGCAATACTGATGGCCCTCTCAGTTGAGTTGGGAAGCATGTCTGCTGCCATTTGGATCTGAGCCCCTGTACTTTCTCGTATTTGCCTGATCTTGCAACCACCTTTTCCAATGAGAGAGCCACATTGACTAGCAGGAACCACCAACCTTAGAGTGATCAAAGGTCTACTGGTAGCTGTAGTGTTGTTCATACATCTGCCGACGTCTTTTTCTGGTTTGTCAATGATCATGGCAAAGGCTTTAAAGATAGCATTAGTGGGTCCAACCAAGGTGATAATTCTCTCAGGACAATTCCCTTCTGAGATGTTGATTCGTGCACCACTCGCCTCTCTAATCTTCTTAACGGATTCTCCTTTCTTTCCGATGATACTGCCAACTTCCTTTCCGTACATAAGTAGCCGGATGGTGAGAATGACATTTAATCCACCTTCCATCTCACGGGTGTCCATGTCGAGCAGTGTTATAGGAAGCTGGACTTTGGGTGATCAAAAAACTGCAGAATCCAGGCGACTCAGGGGGAAAAAAAAGGAGCAGAAGGAAGAGGAAGGGTGGGAGGCTGGGGTGGAACAGTGGGAACAGGTGGGAAGGCCGAGGAGGAAGGAGGGAGTGGAGGAGGAGGAGGAATGGGGAATGAGACCCCGGAGCAGGTCGAGGGCAGCGGGCGGACTGAGAGGGCACAGGCTGTGGCTGTTCTGGATGATGCCTCTACTAGTCTGTCACAGTTTCATTTATGATGTAAAACACATTCTTACATCACAGATCTGCAATCCCACTCCCAAATTTTACTAGAGACAGAAAGTTTATTTTCATAAAAACACATATTTTATGATATGAATATTTTATGGATGAGTTCATAATAGTCAAATTTAGGAAGAATTTGTGAATGAATTAATAAGCTTTGTCATATATCTAAACCAATAGAATAGTACTCCGCAAGTAAAGGAAAACAGTACACTACTAATGAACACAAGAGCATATTTAGATCTTTTGCTAAGTGAAAAAAAAATGACTGAAATGCTATTTAATTCTATTTGTATCACATTTTCTAAAGAATAGAACTATAAATGACAGAGAGAACCAATCAATTACTACCAGAGGCTGGAGCTAGATGCAAGAATATTCTGTAGAGAAGATGGGACAATTTGGTAGGGTGACTGAATTCCATTATACCTTGATCTTGGTGGCATTTTGTCAAAATTCAAAAAATTATAGTATTTTTAAAGGTTTTATTCTACTTCAAGTAATGCCTCAACAATATCAAATGAAAATGGACTGAGCTTAAAATGTCAAATCTTTATTTGTATACATGTGCAAAGAACCAGAAAACTTCTATTTAAAATGGTAACATTTGTTATAGCAAATTAAGTGTAGTGGAAATTCAAATAAATTTTAAGAAATATTTAAATACTTTAAATACTTTAAATATTTAAATACTTTAAATAACAAGGAATGCAAAGCACTGGAATATATTATTGAATATTTAAATAGAGAAAAATAATATGTCATGAACTAGAAGATGAAATTGTTGCTGTGTATATTCTCTTCAAATTGATCTATAATTAGACTGTATAGTGTAACTCCATTCAAAACTCTTCCAAGGTTTTTTGGCAGGACTTGTGAAGTTTTACCTATATACTATATATATATATATATATATATATATGTATATATATATATATAGTTGGTCATGGGGCTTGAACTCTGGGCCTGGATGTTGTCCCTGATCTCTTCAGCTCAACTTGAGTGCTCTACCACTTGAGCCACGGCTTCACCTCCAGCTTTTCTGGTGTTTTTTTGGATATAAGAATCTCACAGACTTTCCTGCTCAGGCTGGCTTTGAACTGTGATCCTCAGATCTCAGCTTCCTGAGTAGCTAGGATTACAGGAGTGATCCATTGGTGCCCGGCTTAACAAAGCTTATTTTCAATTTTAAATATCAATAGACAAATAGGGACAAGGACATACCATACCAGATCTTAGGTAGAATCATAATCGGGATAGCAAGACATTATCATTGGAAATGAAAAGTTTTCTGAAAAAAAGTTATTGGAAACTACAAGGCATATATGGGATGCTGATTTGTGACAAAGATAAAAACAAAACCAGGCATATGCAAATTTTGAGCAGTTTAGTTGAGAAGACAGTGATTGATGAATCAGGTAGTGATAGATCACAGAGAAATGAAGAAGAGTCATGAGGCGTGTACAGGAAACAATATAAAATATTTGATTCATTAAAGTGGCATATTAACCTTATAGGTTCTAGTCAAGTGAGTTAAAGGCTCAATTTATGACTGTTTATATTGTTAGGCCTCAGTTTCTTTGAATAGAAACACAAACTCAGGCTGTTGTCCTCTCAAGATTTCTTTGACAATGGAAGAGAACATCAGTTGTAAGGAAGCCAGTTGGAAAACAAACCTGGAAAAAATTTTCCAATAAGGAAAAATAATAGAATTGCACTCTGGTCTCATCTACACATAAGTTAAATCCAAAATATACTTCAGACTTAATTGTTCAAAGATAAATTTTTAAATTTTTAGAAGAATATATTAGTAAACATCTTTTTACCTCAGAAATCCTCATACATTGTTGGTGGGAGTGTAAATTATTATATAAGTAAAAAAAGACTGCCCACTGCTTTGCACATTTAACATTCATGGATCAAACAACACAATTTTTCCACATTGTGGGAAGATATTTATTCATGCTTTCTGCTAAAAAATGTTAGTTTGGCTTTGAGAATTTAACCTGAAATACATTCTGGGTATATTTTTTCATACATTTGAGGCCAGGATAAAATTTTATATTTTTCCTTATGATCTGTTACAGAGATAAATGGAATATAAACACACATGTAGACATGTAGATATATCTGTATTCATATTTTGTATATAATACACAAAAGCAGAATTTTGTAACAGGCTATTTTAATCATTATCAATTACTAATGCCACTAAAATATTCCCTTAAAATTACAAAATTAAATATGGGGTAAACATATATGGCCATCAGTGGAGAACAGAAAAGCCTATTCATGATGTCCTCTACTCAACATTCTCAATTGTTTTACTATATACCTGAAAAATGTTTGCTTCGGAAGTGGTATGATTGTTATTTTAAATATTTTTCTAGGGCTGGAAGTGTGACTTAAGTGGAAAACTGTCTGCCTATCAAGAATGAATCAAGATTTAAACCTTAGTAATTTGAAAAATACCACATTTAAGTAAATTTTATTCTAAGGCCCACCATTTTGAAAACTTTGAATCCATATTGTGTCATTATTTAAGTACATAAATAATGAGATTTGTTGTTAAAGACAAAGAGAATAAGGAACATAACATTAATAGTATATATGAAAAATAAATGCAAATTTGCTTTTGGGTCATGCTCACCAGACCCATCCAATCAAAACTCCCATTGGGTACAATATAACTCTATTTTAAAAACTAATGTTTAAAAACAAAACACATAACTAAGTGTACTTAACTTTTGTTTATATTTATTGAGACTAATAATGATTCATGAATGAGATTTACTTTCTGTTAAGAACCACCTGGAAAAATATCATTCTTGATCCTAAGTTTGATAACTCATATACAATGATTTTTCTTCTTACATAATTCACTTAAATTTCAGAATGTGTATGCCATGTTAAATAGAAACACAGAAGTTTGTCTTTGTGTATTTAATATTATTAAATATTGTTTTAAAAGGAGTTTCATATATTACATCTTTTATAGATTTATTTAAACAAATATTTTAATTTAAAACCATATTTCTATCATACATTTTGCAAATAATGAAAGAATGGTTTATTTAATTCCCTAGGCACTGCATGAAATTCAATATTTATCATTTAACATATATTGCTGAATATATATCAGGCACCATTCTAGATGGAAATACAGTAATGAAAAATATAGAAGGTCCCTTATTTCTGGAGTTTATGTTCCAATGAGGATACAGACTTTATGAATGTGGGTCTCAAGGTGAAATTAGGGAAATTTGAAGGGACAAACAAACTAGACACTGACATCATCCTGAAAATCCTTCACGTTAAGATTTAATTGGTTAGATGGCTATAGGTCTTTAGGTAAATTTCTGGGTTTTCAATTCTATTCCATTGGTCCTGAGGTCTGTTCTTGTGCCAGTACCAAGCTGTTTTGATTACTATGACTTTGTAGTAGAGTTTGAAATTTGGTGTTGATATTCCTCCAGCAATGTTCTTTCTGTTAAGGATCATTTTTGCTATTCGGGGTCTTTTATTGTTCCATATGAATTTTTGGATTGCCTCTTGTGCTTCCTTGAAGAATGAGGTTGGAATATAGATAGGTATTGCGTTGAATTTGTAGATAGCCTTGGGAAGTATTGCCTTTTTCACGATGTTGATCCTTCCAATCCAGGAGCATGGGAGTTTTTTCCACTTCCTAAGTTCAGCTTTGATTTCTTTTTTCAGGTTTTTAAAGTTTTCATCATAGAGGTCCTTCACTTCTTTGGTTAATTTAATTCCTAGGTACTTTATTTTTTGTGGGGCTATTAAAAAAAGAGTTGCTTTCCTAACTTCAGCCGTGCTCTTCTCATTGTTGGCATACAGGAAAGTCATTGATTTTTGAGGGTTAATTTTATGCCTATAGCCATCTAATCTTCAATAAGGGAGCTAAAAAAAATAGAATGGAAGAAAGACAGCCCTTTCAGTAAATGTTGCTGGCAAAATTGGTTAACTACTTGTAGAAAACTAAAGCTAGATCCTTATATATCACCGTTCACCATAATCAACTCCAATGGATCAAAGACCTCAGAGTCAAAGCAGACACTCTGAAAACATTACAGGGTGGAATAGGAGAAACCCTAGGTCTCCTTGGCACAGGCCAAAATTTTCTTAATAGAGACCCAGAAACACAACAAATCAAAGAAAAGTTGGACAAATGGGATTGCATGAAATTGCAGAGCTTCTGCATGGCAAAGGACATAGCTAGCAAGATCAAAAGAAAGCCCATGGATTAGGAGAAGATCTTCACTAGCCATACAAGGGACTAGAATCTCATATCTAAAATATACCTGGAACTCAAAAAATTAAATACCCCCAAAACAAATCTTCAAAGAAACAACTGCCCAATAAATAAGTGGGCTAAAGACTTATAGAGAAACTTCTCTGAAGAGGAAAGAAGGATGGCCAATAGACAAATGTAGAAATGCTCAACCTCCCAAGCCATAAAAGAAATGCAAATCAAAACAACATTGAGATACCACCTCACCCCAGTTAGAATGGCTATAATCATAAACTCTAGTAACAGCAGATGGAGGGGTTGTGGACAGAAGGGAACCTTATGAATTGTTGGTGGGAGTGTAAACTTGTTCAACCACTTTGGAAAGCAGTCTGAAGGCTCCTCAAAAGACTCCACATTGAGCTCCCCTATGACCCAGCAATCCCACTTTTGGGCATTTACCCAAATGATTACAAACAAGACCATACT